CAAGAGAGTTCAAACAATACTTCCTCGAAAATGTACGCCCTTAGCGCTCGACGACAACCCTCTTGGGCCTCCAACAAGGGGAGGAGGAGACACTCTTGAACTTCGTCGCCTGATTCACAAATGAGATCCAAGACATAGCTGATGCTCATCTATCGCTCCTCATACAAACTTTTTATGATGGGGTATAGGTCCTCTTGGTTTTTTTGGACATTTAATAGAAAGATCATTGGCGACTATACACGAAGCACTTCAAAGAGCTAGTGAATACACCGTCATTGATGCAATGGTTTCCGAGAAGCATGAGAAGTCATGCAATAGGCCAAAGCAAGAGCATCCACAACCAACCCCAACCCCGACCTCAACCCGAGATCACCTTAATAAAGGAGAAATGATTAGCTTGAACCATCTCATCCAAGATCAGAGTTGACACCACTCAACATGATTAGAGCTAAAGTTTTCCTCTAAACCAAAAAGAGGGAGCTCTTGAGAGACCCCTACCGGATGAAAACCCAACTAATAAGGAGAGACAAATCCAAGTACTACCAATTTTATCAAAATTATGATCATGACACTCAAAACTATCATGATTTAAAAGAGCATATTGAAGAACTTATACATCACGAACACCTCAAGCAATTTGTTTAAAAGCATCGGGAGCCCTCACCTCGACCCGAGAGGCCATTCAATCTAGCCTTTCGCATCAAGGTTGTCTTGTCCTGCCACCCGAGATCGTCTTCCCAGTACCTCGAATTAAAAACTTAACGAAAAAATCTCTGAAGAGGGACTTCGGATTGGTCTTAACTTGATCAACGAGGTCAAGGTCAAGGCACATCTAAGGATGTTGAGGTACAAAAAAGTGGTAGCCAAACTCTATAATCAAGGTATTTATCCTCGAGGAATCAGACTTTGGGATCTAATACTTCGAAAAGTTGAAGCTAGTAATCTGACTGGATCCCAAGGTAAGTTAGCATCAATTAAGAAGGGTCTTATCGAGTCATTAAGGTCGTCTGATACAGAACCCATGTCCTCGGGACAACAAAGGCGTGGTCCTACCTCAAACATGACATATTATAAATTTAAAGAAATTCTACCCCTAAAGCATGCCTTAGGGTTAGTTTGGATTGCTATGTTTTGAGTATTAGGCTTGGGCCTACCATGCCTCATGCAACAATTATTAAAAAAAAATTATGATTATATCAAAGTGGGAGATATGACAAGTCGAAGAAAAAAAATTTCATTGTTTCAAACAAAGACTACACCATCCTGACACCATCTTTATGTCCAAAATGAGACCCCGACCTACCAAGATAGAAAGCTAGTCAAGTGGACAAGCCCGACGACTCTATGAAGTAAAGACTCGAAAGACCAGATTTGGTAGATAAACCTGATGATTTAAACAAGACAAATACAATAGGACTAAGGACTCAAGCATTCAGGCAGGGAGGTAAGCCAGAATCATCATTAAAGGGAACTTAAGGGGGCCATCATAATATTTTGATCCTCGAGGTAATCAACAAAGGGATCCTCCTCAAGCTCCATCTCAAGATACCTTGCATTAAAATGGGCCAAGGCAATGTGGTATCCATAATGATAAAAGGAGACCCCCAATCTCTCCAAGCCCTTCCTGGACCTGATTGAGACCTTGTAGTCAATGATGAATTCCTCTTGCTCGTTCAAGCTCTGGATCTGTTCGTTTGCAACAACCAATTGCTCAGTTAGGTTTATAATCTACTCATTTGTAGAGATGTGATCACGGAGCTCGGTGTTGGAGGTCCTCATGGAGTTCATCTCTCATTTGACGATTATTGCCCCAAACAGACTTTAGTTGGTTGACCTAACTAGCAAGGCACTATTGGGCCTCTTCCAACTTCTTCTCCAACTCGGTCACTTGAGCTTCAATTCCAACGATGAGGGCTGGAACACCCCTCCCCCTTCTCAACTCTACATCTACACGAAGGCTATCAATCACGAAGGCTAATTAATGACGGACTCAGCATCACATACACAGTCGATCAGGGTCATGACATAATGGTGATGCTACAAGCCAAGGTGGAGGCATTAATTGAGAGGCAATATCAAGAAATCAAATAACCAATCTATGACTTTACTTACTAGCACTTTGTTACAATAAGCAACATCAATCATCACTTCTGATATAGAGCCGTAAATATACGTAGACATCCTAACGCATAAGGAGCCTCAACAATACCATTCTATGGCCTCTCCATCGCTCCATATAACATCATCGTCAAGGGTCGAGTCTAGTAGGAATATGCTCCATATACCATTCTATGGCCTTCTCGAGGGGGGCCTGGATGTCCTAGGTGCCTTAGATGTCGAAGGATCCTTTTTAAGAATATGCTCGATTTCATGTTCCTCGATCGATTGGGAACAAGAAACCTTCTGCATGGCTTTCTTTTTCCTTGGCTGGCTGATGACGGAAGGTCAATCAAATTGGGTCAAAATCGATACCTTAGGCATAGGCTCGCGAGCAAGCAAGGGAAGAGACGAGGAGGCGACAACCATACCCGAAGAGGAGGTAGCTCCTTGTCTTTTCATCACTTGAAGATCCATCCCTACAAAGAGCATAGTAAAAAAATAAGTCACCAGTCTAACAAATCACACCTCGAAAGAAAATATCTCGGGAATGAGGGATTCGGATCACACACCAAGGAGCTAGGTTGAGACTCATGTCGATCAACCAGTCCAACCCTTATTGTTGGTCAGGACACCACTCACTTGGAAGCTCTATCGAGTGGTAAGACAATAGCCACTCTATCTCTTGCACAGCCAAACACAAGCAGTGAAGACCTTACGGGTCAAGATGATGGTGGCATAACAGTAATACCTGATGAATACCACAAAATAACGTCATGAGTTGGGTGCCATCTACAATAGAAAAATTCTCCACCACTAAAGACATGATATTATCCATGGTTGGAGAGGAAATCGAAGCCCAAACTCTAGTGCATTCGAGGACAGATAAAGGAATATGAACATCGGAACATAAGGCCGATGATCGAGTCGAGGTATCTACATCATAGGAACTCTGCCCACCCACCCCAAGAGACGAAGGTCGGGACTTCCTAGTGAACCCTCAAGTTCACCTATAGGGGCAAGTATATAAGATTGCCTAATACACCCCCCTTGGGATGAGCATCTCAAGGGCTCCCGACGCACCCCTACGGGGGTGAACATCTTGGGGTTGAAGGTGCACCTAGAAAGTAAGGCAACTCAATAGAGGCTTGCTTGAGGTGTGAAGGTTGAATGCCCCCCAACTCCCTCTGAGAAGCAATCGAAGGAATGTAAGATCCACATGTCAAATGAATCTAACGCCTCGTTGCAAGACCCTCCCAGAGGAGCTCCTAAAGCACGCCTTGGGGGGGTGGGCAGAGGGAGACAAGGTGAACAAATGATAGCGAAAATATTGGAGCTCATGTTTATCTGACATATGACTATAATCATGATAGCCACGTGAGCCTTGAGGATGAAGCTTGCTCCCTCTTTATCTACCCATGTGGATGTAGTCCACAACAATAGTTACAGGCTACTTCCCTCTTATGCTTATGTAGACAAAAGGCCAAAGGGGAGGTGAACTTAGGATGTCTCGTACAAAAATGTGCCATAGAATATTCCTCTCGTCTCTTAATAGGCATAAAAAGTTATTTTTGGCATAATACAGAGGTCAAACTTTACTCTTTTATCATCTTTATTTTGGAGGGAATATGTTGAGAAACCTCCCTCCAACCTTAGTCTTTGTGCAAATGCCACATCGAAAACACCTCGACGACACCCCTCGTCCAATTTGCACACATGAGATCAAATCACATCGAGCTTACTAGGACATCATCGACATTTTCTCTAATATTACCCATCTATGAAACAATCAAGAGGCATACTTATTACAGTATGCTATTTTTAAGACATTGAGAAAAAACTCCTAAAGTGCTGTTTTCAATCTAGCAGAGAAAAAGCTCCTAGACATCTTAAGTATTCTCATAATATCATTCTCAATTAGTATATGTTATAAACACCATGGAATATCACTTGTATTTCCACTTTGATAGGCAAATGACATATTTATCAAACTTCCATTCATAGCAAGTTTCTTAAAAGCTCGAACTACTCAGAAGAGATAGAGAACTATTTGCAAGCACATACAGCTGCAACAAAGAAAAGGTGGTAACAAGTTTAAGACATTTGTTGTTGAAAATATGTTAATAAAATGAATTAGCAGAAAGAGAAGAAAAAAAAAGATAATGAGTGGGTATGAGTTGAGACAAAATTTATTTGCACAATTATCTTTTTCATAATAGTTATATCAAGAATTTTAATAAGACGTGGTGGAGAACTAACAAAGAGCTGTTAAATCGGAAACACACATTTTACTAAAGAGCCAAACATGCCGATTTTTTCTTTCATATTTTGCCGGAATTTAATCAAGCCTTACATTTTAATGTTACTTCTAATATAAAAACTTGACTAGATACACTAACATATATAGAATGACAATTTAACAGTAATGGCAGCTAAACTGCATGTTGAAAGATAGAATTATTGATCCAAGTACACAGTATCTGGAGCATATGAAACAAAATAAATGGATCAACAAAAATGGATGCAGGTGCAGTGATGAGATGATAAGTGCTGAGAATAACTACACCTCCAGAGGAACCAACAAATACCTGGCAAGGCAACATTTGACTGAAATAGGCAGCCACAGAATGCAGGCGAGATTGCTGTAGTAGTACAGCCACGTGGCAGGCTTGGTGCAGCCGCGGGCATGCTGAATTGTCAAGGCACGCTTGGTGCAGCTGCGCGGAGCATTGGCTGTGGCCACGCTGCACAGAGCCCTTGACCCACAAGGTTCAGCTGTAGCCCTATGCAAATACCTCGCAAGGCGACATTTGACTGAAATAGGCACACCACATAGATGTAGGTCCACGTTGTAAGTATGCAAATACCTCAACTACATGCAGATGAGAATAAAATGTGATAAGAAGAAGAGCAAGTCCACCATTAATCGAGTTGAACTTTACAAGTTTAGACTTAAATGATTTCAACCAAATAAAAGATCAAGTCTACTTCCAAAAGTAAGCAACATCTTAAGAAAATTGTGTGTATCGATACAGAAGGAATAGCACATAAGACATGCATATACCCTATCATTCATCAGTTCATTCAGTGCACTTTTCTTCTATGAGATGCCTAAGATACTCAAACTCTTCATCAGGAACCTGAAAAGTAAACAAGCACTCTCATGTCATAATCAAATATTAGAACTAAGAAAAAGTAAAGGCATAACTGCAATCACATATATTCATCATTTTGGTTTCCTCAGAAATGGAAATACAATCCATTTAAAATGAGAACAGAAACTGTTAATCATTCAACAGATGTTAACGAGAGAGTTTGCACTATCGGATCCAGGTAACAATAAGCATGGAATAGTCAGAAAAAATGGACCTGGCTGATCAAATGCACAGTATCAGCCAAGATGACAATGATCCCAAATAACTGGGCTACAAACGTTCTTTTTAACAGTTGTGACTAGGTGCCATTGAACAAGTTATAGAGTTTAGGTTATATATCCTCATTAATGCGCATTATGTTCATAGCTGTCCTAAAATTATTTTCTGAATTTTGTTATATAAACCTTTGTTCAGCCAAAATCAAGATCTTCCAGCCTGAATAGCCCAATCTACCATATATATATGTATCCAAGACTTCCATTCAAACAGTTTATCCCAACCGCTCTCTATTATCTTTGACACTGACTATAGACTACAAACTCATTTAGTAAAATTATTAACCTTATCAGTTCCAGTAAAATCATAGAGCTTCAGCTTGAAAGAGAAGTGAAACTGATACACAAAAAGCACAAAATATTAACTCATTTATCACATGCATTGCAAATAAAATCTTCAGCACAGTACACCCCTTTTCACAATAAGCACAAACGATATCAGGTCTATGGACAGTCAAATATGTACAAGAAAAGTCACTGACTTCAGTTAGGGACCATAACAAGCACACTGTCATCAAGATGAACTCACTGACTTCACATGATTAGCTAAAATTTTGCTCCTTATATGAAATCACACCATCAATTGAAGAAACCTTTTAAACAAAGTTAAACAAATACCTTTTGAACAAGAGTTCCAAACAAATACATTTTTTCCATCTTTATCAGAGAAAAAGATTGATGGTATCCAACTCTCTATTTAATCCTATCTCAATTTAGAGAATATTTTAATCCACTTACCCAGAATAATATTCACTTGACTCTCATCCAAAGTTAAACTTAATGATCCCTGGCGGAAAACTACAATGTAAGCACTTCATTCTTATTCAGAGCCATCACTTTTAAAATTCTACTTCATAGGAAAATTTGACCTAGGTTCCAAAATATTAAGATCCCAAAACTTCTAGCATTTGCCAATCAAGTCTAGATTGCCAGATCTTATGCAAAATTAAAGAGATGATCAAGGACAAATTATTTTCAAGGTCCACTGCCCATTAGTCACCCAAAAAAAAAAAGTTCCAGTTGTGATTTGCTTTGCTGCATCAGTCTTATGGTTAGACAAGAGACTGTTTCTTCATCATTCTATTAAATCCATCCATAGGCTGATGGTTACAATTTCTGAAAGTTGGATCCAATTTGGCTTAGAAAAGACTTATAATTTCTAACTTAATCTGTCTTAAAAGAAAACACAAAAAGACCTGGTGAGACATACAACAATTAGAAATTAAAAGTAGAGATGCTACAGTATAGCTACGTTAGTTTGATGGTTAATTCCTATGTTTATGTCATGAATAAATAGTTCAGAAACTTTATAAGCACATTGTGAAGCATGACATAGAATAGTGTTTCTTCATTATCAGAATAGAGTAATATCAAACAAATAGAACAATATGAGAATGGAGAAAGCTTCACAGCATTACCTTCCTATTCATCCTCGCCACTCTCGTCGCTGAAATAGCTAACTTTCTTCTCCTTTTTCTTCTTGTCGTTCCCATCACCAAAACGCTCGTCCCTTTCCCTCGCCTTCTCGTCGAACCCCCTCGTGTCCACCACCGACGCCCAGTTATCGTCATCGAAAGCTTCCTCTTCGCCACCGTCAGAACCACCATCTTGACCTCCACCGCCACCGCCACCGCCGCCGCCGCCGCCCTGTTCCCTCCGCCGCGCCCGCTTCGGATTGGGCCGCTCCCTGGGCCCCAGCTGGTTCCTCGGACACTCGTAGGAGAGGTGGCCCTCCTCTCCGCATTCGTAGCACCGGCTCTTGTCCTTGTAGACCCTCCGGCGAATGAACTCGGCGGCACGGCCGTTGTCAGCAGCGATGGAGGCCGAGAGCGTGCGGCCGTTGAGAACCTTCCCGTTCATGGACCGAGCGGCCGCCGCAGCGTCGTGGCGGGAGACGAAGAGCACGAAAGCGACGCCGCGGCTGCGGCGGGTGGCGTGGTCCTTGAGGACGGTGACGCGGGCGACCTTGCCGAAGGTGGAGAAGATCGTGTGGAGGTCGGAGTTGGTGAGGGTGTAATCGATGTTGGAGACATAGACCGTCGATTTTGAGGGGGCGAGGCCGCCGGATCCGCCCTTGGAGGAGGCGCCGCTGCCGCCGCGGGAGCGGGAGTTGGCGGCCGAGGCGGAGGAGGAGGAGGGGACGGGGTATCGGTAGAGGAAATCGTCGTCATCGTCGTCGCTTTCGTTTCTACGGCGAGCCATCTCCCAGCGATCTGTCTCTTCCCCGTCGGAATTATTTGGGTTTTCTAGAGAGAGGGCAAAGCTGGGAATCGAGATGGAAACGTGAATTGTGAATCGGTTTGCCTGTTAACGGGCCGGGCTAATCTTAGCCCATTTCAACGAGCCCAAATGCGCTTGGCAATACTTTGCATATTGTATAGTTATATGTTATTGGAAACTATATCATTTTATATTGATATGTGATAGATAAATATCATCAATCAATTATGATATGTTATCGGGCCTCCACGTGATAAGACATGCTTCTTTGATTTATCCATACGCACGTAAGTTCAAAATAGATAGTTATAGGTTACCTTCTCTCATCTCGCTTATATGAACAAATTAAAAAAGATAATCTATTAGAGATGATTAAGGATTATTCCCGTAAAATATATTGTTTCTCTATTATCCTCCTATAATCGGTATAAAAACTCATTTTCAACGTAATTATAAGAAAAATCATTTTTCATCACTCACGTCTATAAATATTTATTTTAAATTATTAATTTGAGCACGAGGAATTAGATCAAGAAATTTCTTTACAGTTGACATCTTAAAAATTTAATATTTTTATCTCAAAATAATTATATATATATGGGTGATCAGAATATTAACAATATCTTATCAGTTATGTAATTTATTTATTTTATATTATTATATACATCGGTGGGATGTGCAATGTAGATATGATGACACGAAGATTTGACATGATTGTTTTGAATCCTGTTGTGTCATTCCCCAATTCATGTGTCCATTGTCCCTTCGGGTTAGATGACTAGTTTTGAGAGAGAGAGAGAGAGAGAGAGAGAGAGAGAGACGTGATTGATGGTGCATTTGAAGCATATTTAAATGTACATTGTCCAATATAATCCTCAATGTATATTTAAAATATGTATATTTAATATTTTTTAAATTACAGGTGATCTGAATATTATATTAAAAATATTTAAATACTAATATTACCTCAGGATAATATTAATATTTTATAAAAAATTAATACAATTTTATATAATTTAAAAATATTCTGTGACTTTATCTAAAAATTTTAAAATTCAATATAATTTCTTGAGAAATCAATATAATTTATATTTTTTTATAAAGGTAAAATTTTATTTATTTATTATGTGCTTGGGCCTATGAAATTTTTATGAGATTAGATACATTCATTTATTTATTTTATTTTTACTTATTAATTTAAATAAAAATATAGTTTTAAAATAAAAATAAAAATATTATAAGGATTAATTTATTATAAAATATTTAATAAACTTTTGAAATATAATTTTATCAAATAATATTTATGTCAATGCATATTAAAAATATAATTTTCATCTATTATTTATCAAATACTCATTTCACAATGGCACATATATTCAAACCTCTTTCTCCAAATAGGTATTAAAAATATAAATATATTCCAGAGTTTTAATCTTAATAAGAAATAATCATGTGATTGCATTACATGATTGATATAGAGACGTGAGGTGGTCGATACTTCGATAATAGGGTGGTCAACACCTATATAATAAATAGCCAACACTTCGATGCTAAGTGATCAATACTTAGACCCTACGTGATCAACACTTCTTCAGTGACAATATACTACGGTGCAAAATGATCAATGTTATGGCACCAAGATGACCAACATCTATGCACCGAGTGATCAAAATCTCATGCCAGTTGTTAGTGTAAACAACTTTAAGCCATGGCCTCGGGGCCGATGCGACTTAGTTCGAGTCCGAATAATGAGGATCTTCCCGGGATGACTCTTGAGACTGCAGAAGACCGACTGCGGTGGTCCGATCGCGAAGGGGTCACCGTTTTTCTCTAGGAGGGGGCTCCTCGCTTGGGCGTTTAGTGGGAGGCCTCCGTCTTCGCACCTGCACACAGGTCGGGTCGGGAGAGCTCGGCCCGACCCAGCTCTCCCGACCCCTCCGACGATCAAGTTAACGAATAGTCGCAGGGGGTTTTTTTGTTGTCCTCCCTCCTCTGTTCTCGGAGCGCGAGGGTTTTTATAGTGAAGGTTACCGTTGCCTGATATGCCCGCTCGTAGGGAGTAGGATCATACTTCTGGTAACATCTGACATCGACGTTGGCGTGGCGTGAAGGATCGAGCCTGAGCAGGATGTCAATGTGCCTCGGTCGGCATTCCGGTCCGTGTTGACCAGGTGCTGTCAAGTTAAGAGCGTCATCTGGGGCAGCTGACGTCAACTTGAGTCTTATCGCCATTATTACTCTCATCATATTCGTGCCCCCCCCCCCGATGGAAGCTATGCGTCGGTTGTTGTAAAAGGGGAGTCTGAGACATGGCTTCAGCTTTAAGAAACTATCCTTGCCAGGCGGTTACCGGTCTGTTGCCAGGGGTGTGGGGATCGTGGAGTTCAATAACTAGGGAGGGTTGGGCGTGCAGTGGTGGTCCTGGGCAGTATGCAGCTGAGGAGCACGACTCAGTCGGGCAGGCCGAGCAGAGGTTGTGGTCTCGGGCGATGTGCAGCCGAGGAGCACGACTCAGGCGGGCAGGTCGCGCAGAGGTCGTGGTCTCGGGCGACGTGCAATTGAGGAGCACAACTCAGGTGGGCAGGCCGCGCAAAAGTTGTGGTCTCGGGCGACGTGTAGTCGAGGAGCACGACTCAATCGGGCAGGCCAAGCAGAGGTCGTGGTCTCGGGCGACATGCAGCCAAGGAGCACGACTCAGGCGGGCGGGCCGCGCAGAGGTTGTGGTCTCGGGCAACACGCAGCCGAGGAGCACGACTCAGGCGGGCAGGTCGTGCAGAGGTTATGGTCTCGGGTGACGTGCAACTGAGGAGCGACTTGGCTTGGATTAGCAATCTGTTACGTAGTGACGTGCGGATGTGGGTGGCCAGGCCATTCTCCGTCTGGGGAAGCCCAAGGGATGGTCATTTTCGGGAGTTGTCGGTTTTCGAGACCGAGAAGACCAGCGCTTCAGCATCCGCGCCGCGTGCTCGGGTCGGGTTGCAGACTTCGGCCTTGCGCAGGACTAGGTCGCTTAATTTAATTGGTCGAAGTCATACCTTACGGTTATAGATTCTAGCACGCCGCTCTTCGAGCAAGTCGAGGCCGACTTGTAGTCCTCAGGTCAATATCTTTTCATCGTAGTTTTCCGTTCGAGGGGTAGGGAAAACCACTTCGGGTGGTAGGACGGCCTCGGTCCCGAATGAGAGGCTGTAGGGTGATTCTCCAGTTACGACTTTGGGGGTGGTCCGCAGGGACCATAAGATACTTGGGAGCTCGTCCACCCAAGCCGATCGGACCACGGACACTCTCCTTCTGAGCCCATCCAGAATAGATCGGTTGGTCACCTCGGCCAGTCCGTTCGTCTGGGGGTGGGCCACCGAGCTGAACCTCAGCTGAATCTTGTAGTTCGCGCAGAACTCTCGGAACCTTGTGCTGGCGAACTGGGATCCGTTGTCCGTGATGATGGTTCTGGGCAAGTCGAACCGAGCCACGATATTTTTCCAGACGAACTTCTCCACTTGTCGTTCTGTGATCATTGCTAGTGGCTCGGCCTCAACCTACTTGGTGAAGTAATCTACTCCCACGATGATGTATCTCCGCTGCCCCGAGGCTGGCGGGAAAGGGCCGAGGAGGTCCAATCCCCATTGTGCAAATGGCCATGAACAGTCAATGGGGGCGAGCGGAACCGTAGCCTACCGAGGCGTTCGGGCGTGCCTCTGGCACGGGCCGCACCGCTGTACGTAAGACCTTGCGTCTCAAGACATGGTGGGCTAATAGTGTCCTTGGCGAAGGATTTTGTAAGCCAAGGTCCGTCCAGCGATATGCTCTCCGCAAATCCCCTCATGGACCACGGCCAGGACCGTCCGAGCCTCTTTAGGCCCGAGGCACCGTAGTAGAGGATGCGAGAAGGACCGCTTGTAGAGTCGTCCGTTCACCTCGGAGTACCATGCCTGCATTCGGCGGATGCGCCGAGCCGCAGCCTCGTCGGTGAGAAGAATCTCGTCGCGCTTGAAGCGCAGCATCTCCTGCACCCATGTGGTATGCGCGTCGGCTGAAGACACAACCGAGACCGAGATAGCGCGAAAAGGGAGCTCTTCAATCTCGGGCTGGGTTTTGGGGTCCGACCTTGAGGCCAGTTTAGCCAACTCATCGGCTCGCTCGTTCTGACTCCTCGGCACCCTAGATATCGTAAAGTGAGAGAAGTCGGAGGCTAGGCTTTTTACCTCCGCTAGGTACTTTGTCATGGTTGGTTCCCTGGCCTAGTACCCGCCGTTGAGTTGCTCGGCTACCAGCTGCGAATCGGTGAGGACGTGGATGGCGTTCACCTGCATCTTGAGGGCTAACCTGAGTCCTGTCATGAGTGCCTCATATTCGGCTTCGTTGTTGGTAGCTTGAAACCCAAAGCGGAAGGAGCGTTCGAACGAGCGTCCGTCGGGGGCTGATAACACCAGTCCCACGCCCGCGCCTCTCGAGGTAGCTAATCCGTCCATGTGCAGGACCCATGCTTCCCAAGAATGCTCGGAACCCGCGTCCTCAATCTGAGCGAGCTCCGAGATGAAGTCGGCTATCGACTGGGCTTTGATGGCAGTCCTCGGTACGTAGTGTATGTCGAACTCTCCAAGCTCTACCGACCACTTGAGGAGCCGACTTACAATATCAAATTTAGATAAAACCTACCGGAGCGATTGGTCGGTGATTACCTCAATCGGGTGGGCTTCGAAGTAGGGGCGCAGCTTTTGGGCTGCTAATACGAGCGCCAGAGCAAGCCTTTCGATTGGCGGGTACCGCTCCTCAGGCCCGTTCAGGACGTGGCTGATGTAGTAGACCGGTAGTTGTTCACCGGAGGCTTCTTTGGTCAGGACAGAGCTGACCGCGTGCCGGGAGGCAGCCAGGTAGATACTGAGCTTTTCCCCAAAATAGACCGAGGCAAGGCGGGGGAGGTTGGTCAAGTGTTGTTTGATTTGTTCAAAAGCTTCTTCGCACTATGTCGTCCATTGGAAGTTCTTCGGGTTCTTCATGCTAGTCATAGGTGCCCAGCAAGCCAATCACGTGAGTGATGGCACGT